ATCGGATTTTTTCCACAATATTTATGGGAACTCTAACACGAGTGTATTGTGAACTGGCCCTAACACCAGTGATACTATTCACCAATTTGACAAACATACGTCACGTCGCGGTGCGGTGGGGACGACATCCACTTATCGGGCAGTTAGCAAATCGAACGCCCTTGCATTTCAAACTTTACATAATTTATGTGACGGCCTCGGTAGCGTAGTGGTTTAGCAGACGCTTCCGATGGTCGCGGGTTCGATTCCTCGCACGTTAGAAGCATTTTATATTCTTGTTCTTATCCTATGTTCTTTCTAATATCTAACAACATGTGTACAAAATTTTATGATGATCGGTTCAATAGTTTTTAAGTGAAAGCGTAACAAACACCCCTACTTTCTTATCTATACATATAGATAAAATTAAAAATAAACGGACAGACAGACAAAAATTTTAAAATGATATTTTGTGTATGTGCCGTATTTATATTCATATGCATGTAGTAAAAGACTGTTATTTCAGTATTACAAACAGACACTCCAATTTTATTTATATGTGTAGATTGTGCATCGCCCATAAAAAACAGCACATCAGTGTATTCTTTGCTCAAGCAGCAAACCACTGATTTTCAGCTATTTTTTTTGTGGATGGTGGGGAAAGATACACGCCTCTGCGCTAACGGTTTACGCTTGCTGGGTACTAGTGGAGGATGATAAAATGAGCATAAAGTTAGGTCACTTGCCATTTGCCATTTGCCAAGGTAGCCCACCTTGGCAAATGGCAATTAATCAAGATGATTTCCGGAGAGAACCGCGTGGTGGTCAACCTGACTTGGTACATTGGGGTCAACAGTCCACAATAGGGGGTTATCGTTAGTAATGTGAACTGATGATCTTATTGCTAGCAATGTACCATGACAGGTTGACCTCCACTCGGTTCCCCCTGGAAACCATCGTGATAAATTCTTGGTGAATTTGTCACGATGGACTAACTGACTTGACCTCATGTTCATCTTATCGACCTCCACTGGTGCCCCGCCTGCGTAAATCGTTAGACTGGGGCACCATTCCATTATCATCCATAAAAAAAACAGTGCACATTACTGACAATCCCCTTCCCCTCAATTTTAAGGTATTTTTTTTTCGAATCATAATGGAAGGGTGCCCCCCTCTTGTGCTAACGGTATACGCTGGCGAGGCACCAGTGGAGGATGATAAGATGAGCATGAGGTCAGGTCAGTTAGCCCATTGTGACAAATTCGCCAGGAATTTAACACGATGGGTCAACTAACGTCTGGTATACGCTGGCAAGGCATCAGTGGAGGATGATAAGATGAGCATGAGGTCAGGTCAGTTAGCCCATCGTGACAAGTTCGCCAGGAATTTATCACGATGGTTTCCAGGGGGAACCGCGTGGAGGTCAACCTGACATGGTACATTGCTAGTAATGGGGTCATTAGTCCACATTACTAACAATTCCCTTCCATGCAATTTTCAGGTATTGCCCAGGGGCATACTAACTGATCTCGTGACTTCTTGTTAGTATAACTTGTTCAGTGTTCAGTCAGTCAGTTTGTAAAGTAATCATCATCATCATCATTGCAGCCCGGAAGACGTCCACTGCTGGACATAGGCCTCCCCCAAGGGTCTCCACGACGATCGGTCCTGCGCTGCTCGCATCCAATGCCTTCCAGCGATCTTGACCAGATCGTCGGTCCACCTTGCTGGAGGCCTTCCCACGCTGCGTCTTCCGGTCCGTGATCGCTACTCGAGGACTTTACTGCCCCAACGGCCATCTGTCCTACGAGCTATGCCCTGCCCATTGCCACTTCAGAGTCACAATTCTTCGGGCTATGTCGGTCACTCTGGTTCTTCTGCGGATCTCCGCATTTCTGATTCGATCACGCAGAGTAACTCCGAGCATAGCCCTCTCCATTGCCGTCTGAGTGACTCGGAGCTTGTTCATGGGGCCCATAGTTAGCGACCACGTCTCTGTTCTGTTCTGTTCTGTTCTGTTCTGTAAAGTAATTGGATAACACTAATACTAAGTTTAATGTGATAACCGCATCCATATCCGTTCAACAGTTTTAGGGATTAACACATATAAACACAAAACAAACGGACAACAATTCGAACAATTAATATTTTCGGTTTTATTGTATCGATAAAGTTCCTCATAAATAGGTTCTAATATGTTGATAAAATTTCTCATTTATCTTTAACTAGCTATCCATCCCGGCATCGCACGGGTGTACATGTATGACATATAATTACACATATAAACCTTCCTCTTGAATCACTGTATCTATTATAAAAAACCGCTTCAAAATCCGTTGCGTAGTTTTAAAGATTTAAGCATAAATAGGGACATACAGCGACAGCGAGTTTGTTTTATACTATGTAATGATAATGATGCACAGACAGTTATTAGTTACATTTTTATTATATACTCAATATTAATGAAATCATCAAAAATTATATATAAAATAAATAACCCTGGACAATTAACACAGCGCCATCTAGGCCCACGGTAAGCAGAGCTTGTGTTATGGATACTAGACAACTGATATAAATATTTAGACATTTTTTGGTAAATACATCTATACATATAAATAAAATTGGAGTGTCTGTTTGTAATATTGAAATAACCGCTTTTTACTACATGCATATGAATATAAATACGATACATACACCAAAGTAACATTTTTAACAATTTTGTCTGTCTGTTTTTCCGGCTATCTCTGAAATGGCTGGACCGATTGTGACGGGACCTTTTTGGCATTACCTGATGTAATAAGGAGTAATTTTATTTAAAATAGCAACACACAAGTTTCTTGCTCATTATTCTTGTGATGAATCTGCATTCCGAATGAGCGGTAAAGTAAAAAAACTTGACTATTCAAAAGTTATATATACTCATATTAAGTTTATTTTAATAAAGATTATTTCTATTTCTATTTCTAACGTTGGTTACTTTTATTTTAGAAAAATTATCTAATTAACTTCTTTGTTAAAACCACGCGGACGAAGTCGCAGGCGCAGCTAGTATTATTTAATAAAAACAAGGGAGTGAAACCGCGGTCACAGCCAATATTAATGAATATAATGTTAATTGGAGTAACACTGCTGGTCGTGCGCTCGTTGCTTGTCAATTATCGAAAGTGGTCGAGCCTCTAACGTGATCAGCATCTCGTGTGATAACAATTAACATTATCTGATGTGACATTGCGTACGCAACTGTTGTTGCTCTTGTTTACGGAACTGATTTGTTACTTAAGTAACTAGATGAATATATATATACTTATACATGCAAAATAATGACACAAACATGAACTCGTGATCTTTATTGAAATAGTTATATATCTATATATATACTTTATATTTCTAAGTTAGCCTAAGTTACTCCTTATTACATCAGCTACCTGCCAAAAAAAGTTTCATCAAAATCGGTCCAGCCATTTCAGTGATTAGCCGGACAAACAGACAGACAGACATAAATTAATAAAATGTTATTTTGGAGTATGTACCGTGTTTATATTCATAGGCATGTAGTATAAACGGTTATTTCAGTATTACAAACAGACACTAATTTTATTTATATGTATAGATAGATCGATTATATGTATGTATAGAAGTGCCAATCTAAGCAGAGCATGTGTTATGAGTATTATTAACTTATTGATTTTAATACTTAGATTTGTATGCTATTATAAATACATACATATTATACATACATAAAAAACACCCAGATCGATACAAACAACTCCGAGCGATCCCCCGTTCAAACGGGGATCGATATTACGACTGCCTGAGCCGAGGTTCGAACCACTAGCGGTGCCCTCAGACTAAAGTCATATCCGTCAGGAGAGAGTTGGCCTTCAGCCGCTCCATAAGTCCTTCCTTTGGTTTGGAGTGCCATCTGCACACGCCCCCTATCGTCCGGTGAAGCTGTAAAGGCCAGCTGCGGCCAACAGCATTAGAGTAGTCCGAAAAAAAACTTCTGTCATTGCGCTCTGCTGATAAACATCTCTGCAAGCATCTCCATTATTATCATTCCATTACTAAAGATTAATATCTCTAAAACAGAAATGAAACTGAACTGAACTCAGCCGCTTATAATATTAGCACAAAAGAAAATATAAACAAATATAAATAATAATCATCATCATCGCAGCCCGGAAGACGTCCACTGCTGCGTCTTCCGGTCCATGGTCGCCACTCGAGGACTTTACTGCCCCAACGGCCATCTGTCCTACGAGCTATGTTTTGATATTCTTCGGTCTATGTCGGTCACTCTGGTTCTTCTGCGGATCTCCTCATTTCTAATTCGATCACACAGAGTAACTCTGAGCATAGCCCTCTCCATTGCCCTCTGAGTGACTCTGAGCTTGTTCATGGGGCCCATAATTGCAACACACATTGGTCGTAAACCTTCGTCTTGAGACATAAATATACGAAAAGATATATCGTGAACGCTGTTTCACGATTGACACTTTCATCTACCTACATATAAATAATAATAATTTATTTATTTCACATATTTTTTATATAATTTATAATGTTCCCGACTTCTAAAATAGATATACAAAATACGTGTGTCAAGAATCATATATATATCATATATCTTATATATAAAATTCTCGTGTCACAGTTTTCGTTTCCATACTCCTCCGAAACGGCTTGACTGATTCTCATGAAATTTTGTGGGCGTATTGAGTAGGTCTGAGAATCGGCCAACATCTATTTTTCATCCGCCTAAATGTTAGGGGTAGTCTACCCCTAAATTTTTTTTATTTTAAGGCGAAACTACGTTTGCTGGGACAGCTAGTAATTATTTAAAACTAGTTACTCGCCACGGCTTCGCGCGGGTGTACATGTATTATATAAACCCTCCTCTTGAATCACTTTATCTCTTAAAATAAACCGCTTCAAAATCCGTTGATTAGTTTTAAAGATTTAAGCATACATAGGGACGGACAGACAGCGACAGCGACTTTGTTTTATACTATGTAATGATGTTAATTTCTGTGTTCATACATGGTGTTTACTAGTGAGAAGTAGGACCACGTGGTGCTCAGTACCTGCAACAGAACGTAATGTTATTTCAGCTGTACGATAACATATAAATATTACAACTATATATATATATATATATATATATATATATATATATATATATATATATATATATATATATATATATATATATATATATATATATATATATAACAATAATAATAATCTCAGGACAATTCACACAGCGCCATCTAGACCCAAGTTAAGCTAGCTAAAGCTTGTGTTATGGGTATTAAACAACTGATACAAATACATAGATTTTTTTTTTGTAAATACACACGTAATATACGTAGAAAACACCCAGATCGATACAAAACAATCATACTCATGAATACATATGTTTGTGCCGTGCGACGATTCGAACCCGCGACCAACGGACGTAAAGCGGTGTGCTACACCGCTAGACCATCGAGGTCGTCGGTGGTCTAGCGGATGCCTACGTCATAACATCTACCTGCATGCCAAATTTCAGCCAGATCCGTACAGTGGCTTGGGCTGTGCGTTGATAGATCACTATGTCAGTCAGTCATCTTTGAGTTATATATATTTAGATATAAATATATTCAATACTTTAATAAAACACACATACAAATATTTTTAAGTTTATATATTTTGTGTAATTTGAGTGTATTGATAGATAGAGGAAGGAATGAAACGACTACCCTTCTTCTTAAAAAGGGGTAATCGGTTCAGAAAATAACACCCCTCCGATCGATCCCCGTCCAATTCAAACGGATACCGATGTTACGACGGTCTGAGCCGAGGTTCGAACCCCTAGCGGTGCCCTCAGAGTAAAGTCGTATCCGTCATGCAGGAGTTGGCCTTAAGCCGCTCCATAATTCCTTTCTTAGTTTGGAGTGCCATCTGCACTCGCCCCCTAACGTCCGGTGAAGCTGTAAAGGCCAGCTGCGGCCAACAGAGTATGACGAAAAAAACAGAAAATTAGTTAGTTACGCCCTGGAGTCGGAACAAAGAGGAACTTTGAATAAACGTCTTACATATAGACGCACTGTTTTTATTATTGCCACCTAATTGCTTATATAATTTAACAATCAGGTAAACATAGTTCAACATTCCAATGTTATATATATATGTTATAGTTACCTTTGAGAAAGTGTTCAGTGTCACTGGCCTGTACTTCAGTGATGTCAAACATAATGGTTTTTGAGATCTGTAAGTTTACTTCAATTTTAGTAACAAACATACATACATAAGTGTCATGAAAATATTATATAGTATAATATAAAGTCGCTGTCGCTGTCTGTCCCTAGGTATACTTAAATCTTTTAAACTACGTAACGGATTTTGAAGCGGTTTTTTTAAATAGGTTGATTCTAGAGGAAATTTTATATACATGTACACTCGTGGAAACCCGGGGCGAGAAGCTAGTAAATTATGAAACTTGTAATAACCACTGCCGCTTGATTTTCCTGCAATATTTACAAAATATTTTTGTCAACTTTAATAATTTCAGATTTTTCGCTTCAATGGCCTAAAAAGCAGTTTATATATATTTAAAGCATTTTAAAAATATTCCACAGTTAATCAAATACTAATCAATATTTTTTTTATTTCGCGTAGTTACACGATTTAAAAAAAAAAGTGGATTTAGTATATAAAGGAACCACTTTGATATCTCATATGACATCCCATTTGAGATATTTGATTCAAATTTGATACATTCCATTCAAATTTTAATTCGAAAATCATATAGATATACTGATTAGTATATATGTAGATCCTATTGAGAAGAACTGGCAAGAAACTTAACTATTTTTTAAAAGCCATTTAAAGAACTATAGATATTAGATTTTATAACAACCTTCCATTTCGACTGTATATATGTATATGCAATAAATTTGGCATTACATTTCAAATAAATTTGCAACAAAAACCGTCCAAAAGTATTTTAAATAACTTGATAGTAGTGTCGGATAAATTCTATATATATTCTATATATACACGTGAAATCTCTCTATAGAATAGAATAGCTTATATAGCTTTTAAGCTATAGGCGTGTCTAGCACTTCAGTACGTTATATACTAAATGTATCTAAAGCTTCACTAGCAGGCTCCTTCTAGATTAGACTTGACAGGCCGAGAAATATGAGCGGTGAAAGTGAGTGTCCACGTAAGGGACTCCTTAAACCTACACCCGGGTCACAAGTCCCGGGAACTGTTCGGAGATTCCCTCTTGGCAACCTAATGGATCCGGCATCCGCACGGTGAATACCCAAGGGTCTCCTTAAAGCTACACGCGCTCAAGTCACAGGTAATGATCGGAGTTTCCCGCTCTGCTACTCACAGAACATGTACTAGAACTATATCCTCTGTAACAGGCTCCCGCTAGTTTTAACTGAGGCAGAGAGAGAAACACGAGCGGTGAAGGTGAGTGTTCACGTACATCGGCAAGGGACTCCTTAAAGCTACACGCGCTCAAGTCACAGGGATTGCTCGGAGTTTCCTTTTCTGCCACCCACAGAACATGTACTAGAAATAGTTCTAGTAGGGAGTTTGTTAGAGAGGATACAGATCCTCTCTAACAAACTCCCGCTAGTTTTAACTGAGGCAGAGAGAGAAACACGAGCGGTGAAGGTGAGTGTTGACTCCTTAAACCAACACCCGGGTCACAATTCCCGGCAACTGCTAGCAGTTTTCTTCTCGGCTACCCAATGGATCTGGCATCCGCACAGTGAATACCCTACTAGATTTCACTAAGCAGGGAAAGAAATACGAGCGGCGAAGGCGAGTGTTGAGGTACGTCGGCAAGGGACTTCTTAAATCTCCACCCGGGTCACAATTCCCGGGAACTGTTCGGAGTTTCCCTCTCGGCCACACAATCCGCACTGTGAATACCCTACCAGATTTGACTAAGCAGGGCGAGAAATACGAGCGGCGAAGGTTAATGTTGAGTGACTTTGGGGCCCCTTAAACCTACATTCAAGTCCCGGGATCTGCTAGGAGTTTCCCTCTTGGCCACACAATGGATCCACCTACACCCGGGTTAATTCACCTACACCCGGGTTACAATTCCCGGGATCTGTTCGGAGTTTCCCTCTCTGCCACATGATAGACCCGGCATCCACATGGAATGCTAAGAAGTTCAAGGGTTGTATTTTTTTGCTCCCCTAAATACTGACCTGAGGATGATGAAAAGTATCATCTTCATATACTGCGCGTCGCCCTTGTACCACATACTGCGGTATACTGCATCGGCCAGATCACCACTCTGCAACATGGAATCATATACTGCCTTCATAGAGTCTTAAATATACATATACATATACGGTTAAAATACTATTTATAGATAAATTATAGACGACCTCGGTGGTCTAGCGGTCCAGTCTACCGCTTTACGACCGATGGTCGCGGGTTCGATTCCTCGCACGGCACAAACATTTGTATTCATGAGTATGATTGTTTGTATCGGTCTGGGTATTTTCTATGTATAATATGTATGTATTTACGAAAAAAAAAACTATGTATTTGTATCAGTTGTCTAGGACCCATAACACAAGCTTTAGCAAACTTAACTTGGGTCTAGATGGCGCTGTGTGAATTGTCCTGGGATTATTATTATTAAATATAATAGAAATATCTATACTAATTTTTATTCTACCACTCATTTGGAACGCAGACTCATCACAAGGAGAACGAGCAAGAAACTTGTGAGTTGCTGTTTTGAATGGATGTTTTTTTTCATATATATAAATAATTACAGTATAACAAGTAAGAGGCATGCGATAATCAACATAAAAATCGGTACGCACTAATTTTTAGTGCAGAGATACATTTTTAAAAATTTTGTTCGAATGGAAACTGACAAATAGCTAAGTTAACATAATAAATGAATGGTTACTTGAGCAGACCAGTCCCTATATACGTTTGTTATTAATAATATCATACTGTTTCTATAGTGCTGAGCTTACTTACTTACCGCCTCTCTAATTATGTCGCAGAAGTGGCATATCATATAGAGTATCGTCAGAACACACCAGATCATGCCGTAGTATATGATCTTGTAAACGGTACTTTCACTTGTCTGAAATTTTATATTACTAATGTTATAAACGCGAAAGTTACGAGTATGGATGTATGGATGTGATTCTTTCACGCAAAAACTACTGAACGGGTATTGATGAAACTTTACAGTAATGTAGCTTATACATCAGAATAATACATGGACTAGAATTTAAAAAGATATTAAGTAAATTGGCCGAAATCTAAATATATATAACTCAAAGGTGACTGACTGACATAGTGATCTATCAAAGCACAGCTCAAACCACTGGACGGATCGGGCTGAAATTTGGCATGCAAGTAGATAATAATAATAATAATTATTATTTTATTGGTATGATAACAGCCACATTAGTAAGTAATACTGTGTCGTGGCCGTCAAAGATGTTATGACGTAGGCATCCGCTAAGAAAGGATTCCGATTAATTCTACCCCCAAGGGGATAAAATATGGGATGAAAGTTTGTATGAAACTTTGTCAATTTTAAACCGATCGGGCTGAGACTTTGCATGCATAAAAGTGTTATGACGTAGGTATTCTCTAAGAAAGAATTTTGATAAATTCCACCTCTAAGGGGATGAATTAAGCGACGCGAGCGAAGCCGCGGGCAAAAGCTAGTATAATAATAAATGTCGAGAGGTTGCTCGGGTCATCTACTTGATAAATTAAGGTACTAAAAGAAATTCAACCTCAACAGTACACAACACTAATGTGTTATGTTATTCATTATTATTAATTTGTCATTATTATTATTATGTTTTTTTATTTTTCTCTTCTATTCTAGTCCTACCTTTTGTTTTTTTCTCCTCTACCCAAAGGTTGCCTAGAAGAGATTGCATAAGCGATAAGGCCGCCTTTTGTACCCTTTTATTTTAATTACTCTATTAATGTAATTTTCCTGGTGCAATAAAGAGTATATAAATAAATAAATAAATAAAATACCAGTGCCCTGTCCCGACTTCGCACGGATGCATTATAATCTTTGAATTTCTCGGTTCGTTCTATACAATAACACGTATATATTATATATATAAACCTACCTCTTGAATCACTCTATCTATAGCTGAACACTTAATCAAAATCCGTCGTGTAATTAACAATGTAAGCGAACAGACTTTATCATTACATAGTATAAAACAAAGTCGCTGTCGCTGTCTGTCCCTATGTATGCTTAAATCTTTAAAACTACGCAACTCATTTTGAAGCGGTTTCTTTTAATAGATAGAATGATGCAAGAGGACGGTTTATATATATAATACATGTACACCCGTGCGAAGCCGGGGCGAGTAGCTAGTATTATCAATATTATAAAGCTTCAGAACTACATACTTGTAAATAATTTTAATTTTCTTCAATTTCTTTATAATACAATATATTTACTAAATTTCCTTTGAAGTTACACATATATGAAAAGATTTAAAATATAATTTCATAACTTACGTATCTATACATATAAATAAAATTGGAGTGTCTGTTTGTAATATTGAAATAACCGTTTTTTACTACATGCATATGAATATAAATACGATACATGCACCGAAACAACATTTTTTTACAATTTATGTCTGTCTGTCTGTTTGTTCCTGCTAATCTCTGATATGGCTGAACCGTTTTTGACGGGACTTTTTTTGGCCGGTAGCTGATGTAATAAGGAGTAACATAGACAAGTTTTACTTTAGAAAAACAAAGTTCAATTACACGCGGAAGAAGTCGCGGACACAGCTAGTATATACATATATATACATAGTATAAAATAAAGTCGCTGGCGCTGTCTGTCCCTAAGTATGCTTAAATCTTTAAAACTACGCAACGGATTTTGAAGCGGTTTTTTTTAATAGATAGAGTGATTCAAGAGGAAGTTTTATATGTATAATACATGTACACCCGTGCGAAGCCAGGTCGAGTAGCCAGTATATATATATATAAATGGAACTCACTTTTGCCGCCAGTCCGAAGAAACAAATCATCATAGAATCAAATAGTAATTTAATAAAAAGAAATTTGTTAAATATTCCATTCAGTTGCTTTGTCAACCTGCAAATATCAATTTGAATGTATTAAACAGATCCTTACTTATATTATAAATGTGAAAGTAACTGTCTGTCTGTCTGTCTGTCTCTGTATTAAACAGATCCTTACTTATATTATAAATGCGAAAGTAACTGTCTGTCTGTCTGTCTCTGTATTAAACAGATACTTACTAATATTATAAATGCATAAGTAACTGTCTGTCTGTCTGTCTCTGTATTAAACAGACCCTTACTTATATTATAAATGCGTAAGTAACTGTCTGTCTGTCTGTCTCTGTATTAAACAGATACTTACTAATATTATAAATGCATAAGTAACTGTCTGTCTGTCTGTCTCTGTATTAAACAGACCCTTACTTATATTATAAATGCGTAAGTAACTGTCTGTCTGTCTGTCTCTGTATTAAACAGATACTTACTAATATTATAAATGCATAAGTAACTGTCTGTCTGTCTGTCTCTGTATTAAACAGATCCTTACTAATATTATAAATGCGAAAGTAACTGTCTGTCTGTCTGTCTCTGTATTAAACAGATCCTTACCAATATTATAAATGCGAAAGTATCTGTCTGTCTGTCTGTCTCTGTATTAAACAGATACTTACTAATATTATAAATGCATAAGTAACTGTCTGTCTGTCTGTCTCTGTATTAAACAGATACTTACTAATATTATAAATGCATAAGTAACTGTCTGTCTGTCTGTCTCTGTATTAAACAGACCCTTACTTATATTATAAATGCGTAAGTAACTGTCTGTCTGTCTGTCTCTGTATTAAACAGATACTTACTAATATTATAAATGCATAAGTAACTGTCTGTCTGTCTGTCTCTGTATTAAACAGACCCTTACTTATATTATAAATGCGTAAGTAACTGTCTGTCTGTCTGTCTCTGTATTAAACAGATACTTACTAATATTATAAATGCATAAGTAACTGTCTGTCTGTCTGTCTCTGTATTAAACAGATACTTACTAATATTATAAATGCGAAAGTAACTGTCTGTCTGTCTGTCTCTGTATTAAACAGACCCTTACTAATATTATAAATGCGAAAGTAACTGTCTGTCTGTCTGTCTCTGTATTAAACAGATACTTACTAATATTATAAATGCGAAAGTAACTGTCTGTCTGTCTGTCTCTGTATTAAACAGATACTTACTAATATTATAAATGCGAAAGTAACTGTCTGTCTGTCTGTCTCTGTATTAAACAGATACTTACTAATATTATAAATGTGAAAGTAACTGTCTGTCTGTCTGTCTCTGTATTAAACAGATACTTACTAATATTATAAATGTGAAAGTAACTGTCTGTCTGTCTGTCTCTGTATTAAACAGATACTTACTAATATTATAAATGTGAAAGTAACTGTCTGTCTGTCTGTCTCTGTATTAAACAGATACTTACTAATATTATAAATGCGAAAGTATCTGTCTGTCTGTCTGTCTCTGTATTAAACAGATACTTACTAATATTATAAATGTGAAAGTAACTGTCTGTCTGTCTGTCTCTGTATTAAACAGATACTTACTAATATTATAAATGTGAAAGTAACTGTCTGTCTGTCTGTCTCTGTATTAAACAGATACTTACTAATATTATAAATGTGATAACTGTCTGTCTGTCTGTCTCTGTATTAAACAGATACTTACTTATATTATAAATGTGAAAGTAACTGTCTGTCTGTCTCAGTATTGAACAGATACTTACTAATATTATAAATGCATAAGTAACTGTCTGTCTGTCTGTCTCTGTATTAAACAGATACTTACTAATATTATAAATGCGAAAGTAACTGTCTGTCTGTCTGTCTCTGTATTAAACAGATACTTACTAATATTATAAATGCGAAAGTAACTGTCTGTCTGTCTGTCTCTGTATTAAACAGATACTTACTAATATTATAAATGTGAAAGTAACTGTCTGTCTGTCTGTCTCTGTATTAAACAGATACTTACTAATATTATAAATGCGAAAGTAACTGTCTGTCTGTCTGTCTCTGTATTAAACAGACCCTTACTAATATTATAAATGTGAAAGTAACTGTCTGTCTGTCTGTCTCTGTATTAAACAGATACTTACTAATATTATAAATGTGAAAGTAACTGTCTGTCTGTCTGTCTCTGTATTAAACAGATACTTACTTATATTATAAATGTGAAAGTAACTGTCTGTCTGTCTCAGTATTGAACAGATACTTACTAATATTATAAATGCATAAGTAACTGTCTGTCTGTCTGTCTCTGTATTAAACAGATACTTACTAATATTATAAATGCGAAAGTAACTGTCTGTCTGTCTGTCTCTGTATTAAACAGATACTTACTAATATTATAAATGCGAAAGTAACTGTCTGTCTGTCTGTCTCTGTATTAAACAGATACTTACTAATATTATAAATGTGAAAGTAACTGTCTGTCTGTCTGTCTCTGTATTAAACAGATACTTACTAATATTATAAATGCGAAAGTAACTGTCTGTCTGTCTGTCTCTGTATTAAACAGACCCTTACTAATATTATAAATGTGAAAGTAACTGTCTGTCTGTCTGTCTCTGTATTAAACAGATACTTACTAATATTATAAATGTGAAAGTAACTGTCTGTCTGTCTGTCTGTCTCTGTATTAAACAGATACTTACTAATATTATAAATGTGAAAGTAACCGTCTGTCTGTCTGTCTCTGTATTAAACAGACCCTTACTAATATTATAAATGCGAAAGTAACTGTCTGTCTGTCTGTCTCTGTATTAAACAGATACTTACTAATATTATAAATGTGAAAGTAACCGTCTGTCTGTCTGTCTCTGTATTAAACAGACCCTTACTAATATTATAAATGCGTAAGTAACTGTCTGTCTGTCTGTCTCTGTATTAAACAGATACTTACTAATATTATAAATGCGTAAGTAACTGTGTCTGTCTGTCTGTCTCTGTATTAAACAGATACTTACTAATATTATAAATGCGTAAGTAACTGTCTGTCTGTCTGTCTGTCTCTGTATTAAACAGATACTTACTAATATTATAAATGCGAAAGTAACTGTCTGTCTGTCTGTCTCTGTATTAAACAGATACTTACTAATATTATAAATGCGAAAGTAACTGTCTGTCTGTCTGTCTCTGTATTAAACAGATACTTACTAATATTATAAATGTGAAAGTAACTGTCTGTCTGTCTGTCTCTGTATTAAACAGATACTTACTAATATTATAAATGTGAAAGTAACTGTCTGTCTGTCTGTCTCTGTATTAAACAGATACTTACTTATATTATAAATGTGAAAGTAACTGTCTGTCTGTCTCAGTATTAAACAGATACTTACTAATATTATAAATGCATAAGTAACTGTCTGTCTGTCTGTCTCTGTATTAAACAGATACTTACTAATATTATAAATGCGAAAGTAACTGTCTGTCTGTCTGTCTCTGTATTAAACAGATACTTACTAATATTATAAATGCGAAAGTAACTGTCTGTCTGTCTGTCTCTGTATTAAACAGATACTTACTAATATTATAAATGTGAAAGTAACTGTCTGTCTGTCTGTCTCTGTATTAAACAGATACTTACTAATATTATAAATGCGAAAGTAACTGTCTGTCTGTCTGTCTCTGTATTAAACAGATACTTACTAATATTATAAATGTGAAAGTAACTGTCTGTCTGTCTGTCTCTGTATTAAACAGATACTTACTAATATTATAAATGTGAAAGTAACTGTCTGTCTGTCTGTCTCTGTATTAAACAGATACTTACTAATATTATAAATGTGAAAGTAACTGTCTGTCTGTCTGTCTCTGTATTAAACAGATACTTACTAATATTATAAATGAGAAAGTAACTGTCTGTATGTCTGTCTCTGTATTAAACAGATACTTACTAATATTATAAATGCGAAAGTAACTGTCTGTCTGTCTGTCTCTGTATTAAACAGATACTTACTAATATTATAAATGCGAAAGTAACTGTCTGTCTGTCTGTCTCTGTATTAAACAGATACTTACTAATATTATAAATGTGAAAGTAACTGTCTGTCTGTCTGTCTCTGTATTAAACAGATACTTACTAATATTATAAATGCGAAAGTAACTGTCTGTCTGTCTGTCTCTGTATTAAACAGACCCTTACTAATATTATAAATGTGAAAGTAACTGTCTGTCTGTCTGTCTCTGTATTAAACAGATACTTACTAATATTATAAATGTGAAAGTAACTGTCTGTCTGTCTGTCTGTCTCTGTATTAAACAGATACTTACTAATATTATAAATGTGAAAGTAACTGTCTGTCTGTCTGTCTCTGTATTAAACAGATACTTACTAATATTATAAATGCGAAAGTAACTGTCTGTCTGTCTGTCTCTGTATTAAACAGATACTTACTAATATTATAAATGTGAAAGTAACTGTCTGTCTGTCTGTCTCTGTATTAAACAGATACTTACTAATATTATAAATGCGTAAGTAACTGTCTGTCTGTCTGTCTCTGTATTAAACAGATACTTACTAATATTATAAATGCGTAAGTAACTGTCTGTCTGTCTGTCTGTATTAAACAGATCTAATATTATAAATGCAGAACTGTCTGTCTGTCTGTCTCTGTATTAAACAGATAATTATTATTATAAATGCGTAAGTAACTGTCTGTCTGTCTGTCTCTGTATTAAACAGATACTTACTAATATTATAAATGTGAAAGTAACTGTCTGTCTGTCTGTCTCTGTATTAAACAGATCCTTACTTATATTATAAATGTGAAAGTAACTGTCTGTCTGTCTGTCTGTCTCTGTATTAAACAGATACTTACTAATATTATAAATGCATAAGTAACTGTCTGTCTGTCTGTCTCTGTATTAAACAGACCCTTACTTATATTATAAATGCTAACTGTCTGTCTGTCTGTCTCTGTATTAAACAGATACTTACTAATATTATAAATGCATAAGTAACTGTCTGTCTGTCTGTCTCTGTATTAAACAGACCCTTACTTATATTATAAATGCGTAAGTAACTGTCTGTCTGTCTGTCTCTGTATTAAACAGATACTTACTAATATTATAAATGCATAAGTAACTGTCTGTCTGTCTGTCTCTGTATTAAACAGATCCTTACTAATATTATAAATGCGAAAGTAACTGTCTGTCTGTCTGTCTCTGTATTAAACAGATACCTTACTAATATTATAAATGCAAAGTAACTGTCTGTCTGTCTGTCTCTGTATTAAACAGATACTTACTAATATTATAAATGCATAAGTAACTGTCTGTCTGTCTGTCTCTGTATTAAACAGATACTTACTAATATTATAAATGCATAAGTAACTGTCTGTCTGTCTGTCTCTGTATTAAACAGATACTTACTAATATTATAAATGCGAAAGTAACTGTCTGTCTGTCTGTCTCTGTATTAAACAGATACTTACTAATATTATAAATGCGAAAGTAACTGTCTGTCTGTCTGTCTCTGTATTAAACAGATACTTACTAATATTATAAATGCATAAGTAACTGTCTGTCTGTCTGTCTGTCTGTCTCTGTATTAAACAGACCCTTACTAATATTATAAATGCGAAAGTAACTGTCTGTCTGTCTGTCTCTGTATTAAACAGATACTTACTAATATTATAAATGCGAAAGTAACTGTCTGTCTGTCTGTCTCTGTATTAAACAGATACTTACTAATATTATAAATGCGAAAGTAACTGTCTGTCTGTCTGTCTCTGTATTAAACAGATACTTACTAATATTATAAATGTGAAAGTAACTGTCTGTCTGTCTGTCTCTGTATTAAACAGATACTTACTAATATTATAAATGTGAAAGTAACTGTCTGTCTGTCTGTCTCTGTATTAAACAGATACTTACTAATATTATAAATGCGAAAGTAACTGTCTGTCTGTCTGTCTCTGTATTAAACAGATACTTACTAATATTATAAATGCGAAAGTAACTGTCTGTCTGTCTGTCTCTGTATTAAACAGATACTTACTAATATTATAAATGTGAAAGTAACTGTCTGTCTGTCTGTCTCTGTATTAAACAGATACTTACTAATATTATAAATGTGAAAGTAACTGTCTGTCTGTCTGTCTCTGTATTAAACAGATACTTACTTATATTATAAATGTGAAAGTAACTGTCTGTCTGTCTCTGTATTGAACAGATACTTACTAATATTATAAATGCATAAGTAACTGTCTGTCTGTCTGTCTCTGTATTAAACAGATACTTACTAATATTATAAATGCGAAAGTAACTGTCTGTCTGTCTGTCTCTGTATTAAACAGATACTTACTAATATTATAAATGCGAAAGTAACTGTCTGTCTGTCTGTCTCTGTATTAAACAGATACTTACTAATATTATAAATGTGAAAGTAACTGTCTGTCTGTCTGTCTCTGTATTAAACAGATACTTACTAATATTATAAATGCGAAAGTAACTGTCTGTCTGTCTGTCTCTGTATTAAACAGACCCTTACTAATATTATAAATGTGAAAGTAACTGTCTGTCTGTCTGTCTCTGTATTAAACAGATACTTACTAATATTATAAATGTGAAAGTAACTGTCTGTCTGTCTGTCTCTGTATTAAACAGATACTTACTTATATTATAAATGTGAAAGTAACTGTCTGTCTGTCTCAGTATTGAACAGATACTTACTAATATTATAAATGCATAAGTAACTGTCTGTCTGTCTGTCTCTGTATTAAACAGATACTTACTAATATTATAAATGCGAAAGTAACTGTCTGTCTGTCTGTCTCTGTATTAAACAGATACTTACTAATATTATAAATGCGAAAGTAACTGTCTGTCTGTCTGTCTCTGTATTAAACAGATACTTACTAATATTATAAATGTGAAAGTAACTGTCTGTCTGTCTGTCTCTGTATTAAACAGATACTTACTAATATTATAAATGCGAAAGTAACTGTCTGTCTGTCTGTCTCTGTATTAAACAGACCCTTACTAATATTATAAATGTGAAAGTAACTGTCTGTCTGTCTGTCTCTGTATTAAACAGATACTTACTAATATTATAAATGTGAAAGTAACTGTCTGTCTGTCTGTCTGTCTCTGTATTAAACAGATACTTACTAATATTATAAATGTGAAAGTAACCGTCTGTCTGTCTGTCTCTGTATTAAACAGACCCTTACTAATATTATAAATGCGAAAGTAACTGTCTGTCTGTCTGTCTCTGTATTAAACAGATACTTACTAATATTATAAATGTGAAAGTAACCGTCTGTCTGTCTGTCTCTGTATTAAACAGACCCTTACTAATATTATAAATGCGTAAGTAACTGTCTGTCTGTCTGTCTCTGTATTAAACAGATACTTACTAATATTATAAATGCGTAAGTAACTGTCTGTCTGTCTGTCTGTCTCTGTATTAAACAGATACTTACTAATATTATAAATGCGTAAGTAACTGTCTGTCTGTCTGTCTGTCTCTGTATTAAACAGATACTTACTAATATTATAAATGCGAAAGTAACTGTCTGTCTGTCTGTCTCTGTATTAAAAAGATACTTACTAATATTATAAATGCGAAAGTAACTGTCTGTCTGTCTGTCTCAGTATTAAAAAGATACTTACTAATATTATAAATGTGAAAGTAACTGTCTGTCTGTCTGTCTCTGTATTAAACAGACCCTTACTAATATTAAAAATGCGAAAGTAACTGTCTGTCTGTCTGTCTCTGTATTAAACAGATACTTACTAATATTATAAATGCGTAAGTAACTGTCTGTCTGTCTGTCTGTCTGTCTCTGTATTAAACAGATACTTACTAATATTATAAATGCGTAAGTAACTGTCTGTCTGTCTGTCTGTCTCTGTATTAAACAGATACTTACTAATATTAAAAATGCGTAACTGTCTGTATGTCTGTCTCGTTTTCACGCCAAAACTACTGCACCGATTTAATTAAAATTTGGTGTACCGATAGTCTAGAACCTGAAAAAGGGCCTAGGCTACTTTTTAATGCGAATCAAGGGTTGTAAGGGGTAGAAAGGGGAGATGAACCGTTCTATGGAAGTATCGACATGTTTAAAGCTAAAAGCTTGAAACTTATTTTTTAAGCTTTTGACTATCAATATGATATTCAAAATTTGCGAATTTTACCCTTAAAGGGGTAAATGGAAATTCCTCATTCATCCTCTATTCCTTGCGAACGAAGTCGCGAGCAAAGCTAGTAATCTATACATCTATATATATAAATAAAATGTATGTATGTAATACAGAAATATGAATATAAATACGGTACGTAAACCAAAATAATATCTTTTACAATTTTTATCTATCTGTCTGTTTGTTCCTGTTAATCTCTAAAATGGGTGGACCGATTTTGACGGGACTTTTATTGTCAGGTAGCTGATGTAATAAGGTGTAACTTAGGCTTTTATTTTACAAAATATCTAGTAAAATCAAGCTATTATGATAATAATATTTATTTTATGTTCCCTACAAAACATATATATGTCATATACAGTGTAATCGAGCCATTTGGGAAGGTAAAAGTTCAAATTTGCCGCGTATCGGATGAAAAGGTGAGTCTGAGGTACAGCACCCCACGCAGACAAATTTCTACAAAGACTAGCTCCGTAAATGTAACGAGGTGTTAAATTTTTTTATACTACATTTACGTTCTATATATATTTTATTTATTTACTACCTGTTCCTGCGACTTCGTCCGCGTGGAATTTAACATTAGCCTAAGTTACTCCTTAATATATCAGCTACCGGCCAATAAAAGTCTCGTCAAAATCGGTCCAGCCATTTCAGAGATTAGCCGGAACAGACAGACAGACCAAAATTGTAAAAAATGTTATTTTGGTGTATATACCGTATTTACATTCATATGTATGTAGTAACAAACGGTTATTTCAATATTACAAACAGAAGGGGGAAGGCCTCCAGCAAGGTGGACCGACGATCTGGTCAAGATCGCGGGAAGGCATTGGATGCGAGCAGCGCAGGACCGATCGTCGTGGAGATCTTTGGGGGAGGCCTATGTCCAGCAGTGGACGTCTTCCGGGCTGCGATGATGATGATGATGATGACAAACAGACACTCCAATTTTATTTATATGTACAGATGTAGGTATAGATTTGGTTTTGCTGGGACTGGGTACTTCACGCGAAACCGCGAGCACAGCTAGCATTATTACATTTATACATTTATAAATAACTAGCTATTCGCCCCGGCTTCGCACGGGTGTACATGTATTATATATATATATATATATATATATAATCCTTCCTCTAGAAACACTATACCTATTACAAAAACCGCTTCAAAATCCGTTGCGTAATTTTAAAGATTTAAGCATACATGGGGACAGACAGCGACAGCGACTTTGTTTTATACTATGTAATGAAGATATGTTTCATGAATGTATTGTAATCTCATAATCTCAGGACAATTCACACAGCGCCATCTAGACCCAAGTTAAGCTAGTTAAAAGCTTGTGTTATGGGTACTAGACAACTGATACAAATACATAGATATTTTTTTTTTCGTAAATACATACATATTATACATAGAAAACACCCAGACCGACACAAACAATTATACTCAGAAATACAAATGTTTGTGCCGTGCGAGGAATCGAACCCGCGACCATCGGACGTAAAGCGGTGTGCTAAACCACTAGACCACCGAGGTCGTCGAATATATGTAGTAAATCTTTGTGGGAACATACACCTCATTTGATTTACCTTATTAATGTCTGATGTTTCATTATAAATTCACTAATATTGATCTCTGTATCATCCTGGCCGCGGACAGTGTTGCCATTCTTGTTAATTGGATTGATTTTGTCAAAATCATCCAATAATATCGCAATCTGCGTGCCGAGGAATCCGCATAAAGTTATCAATAGGTAATTGCCATTCAAATATATGTATGTCATTCGAAGCACTGAAAAAAATCGGTAATTTAATTGGAACAAGCTCAGAGTCACTCAGAGAGCAATAGAGAGGGCTAAGCTCGGAGTTACTCTGCGTTATCGAATCAGAAATGAGATCCGCAGAAGAACCAGAGTGACCGACATAGCCCGAAGAATTGCGACACTGAAGTGGTAATGGGCAGGACACATAGCTCGTAGGAAAAATCCTTTCTTAGGGAATGCCTACGTCATAGTAGCTTTATGCATACAAAGTTTCAGCCCGATCGGTTTAAAACTGACAAAGTTTCATATAAACTTTCATCCCCTATTTTATCCCTTTGGGGGTAGAATTAATCAAAATCCTTTCTTAGCCTACGTCATAACATGTACCTGCATGCCAAATTTCAGCCCGATCCGTCCAGTGGTTTGGGCTGTGCGTTGATAGATCACTATGTCAGTAACCTTTGAGTTATATATATTTAAGATACTAATTACAGTCAATTTAGTATTAATATGTCAGTTTTTGTATTAATATTTTTTTCTATACCTATCATTACATATTACTAGCTACTACCGTCCAGTTCGGTATATAGATCCAATGGAGAAGAACTGACAAGAAACTCAATTGTAATACTTTCTTTTAAAAACCAGTTTATTTATAATGTATAAGTATTTATATAGGTGTCTATGTCTAACATTAAATGAAAGGTTGAGATCGATATTTTCCAAAAGGTTTAGTGTAGGGATTGTATATTCTGTCACAGTAAGTAGAAAGAATATGACACGCTTAGTTTCCATATAAATTGCGGTTCTTGTCCCGTTCATCTTCATTTATGTCTCTGCTTTTTGTACCCACTAGGTGCAATTCATCATAAAAGAATATACAAACGAAACGGGTTAGGAAGCGCCTACTTAAATTTTAGAGATTTCGATGTATATATTCGACATTGCTATGTTGATTTCAGCAGGATTTGTAATTCGAACAAACGTTTCGATAAAATGATAAATGCCGATGTAAATATAAGTATACTAGCTTTGCCTGCGACTTCGTCCGCGTGTTATAGTGACCTTCACCAAATATAGAAAGAATATATAATTATCTATAATTAATAATAACCTAACCCAAAAAATGCAAAGAAAAAAAATTGCTCATTATAGATTATTTTTTTTTTAGGGGTGGAAATTATCAAAATCCTTTCTTAGGGGATGCCTACGTCATAGTAGCTTTATGCATGCAAAGTCTCAGCCCGATTGGTTTAAAATTGGCAAAGTTTCATACAAACTTTCATCCCCTATTTTATACCCTTGGGAGTAGAATTAATCAAAATCCTTTCTTAGCGGATGCCTACGTCATAACATTTACCTGCATGCCAAATTTTAGCCCCATCCGTCCAGTGGTTTGGGCTGTGCGTTGATAGATCACTATGTCAGTCACCTTTGAGTTATATATATAACTCAAAGGTGACTGAATCAGCTGTTTTCGTTTTGACAACCTGTCCCTTACACCCTGTATATTTAGATATATATACTTACTGCTGTACACTTGAAAGAAATAAACGACAATGTATATGAACCAATTTGTCGTGGGGTCAAACGGATAAGTGCTTGCGAACGCTAATATCAACTTTGTATTTTGGCCCAATATTAGTTTGCGGAACACGGTCTCCACCAGAGGAAATAACAACATCAGCCAGGTCGTTGCTATGGCCAACTTGAAAAAAACTGAAAGTGACAAACAACTATAGAGTGTAGCGAACTCCTTGATACAGTTTTATATTATTACTAGCTGTACCCGCGACTTCGTTCGCGTGGAATTTAACTTTATGTTTCTAAAATAAAAGTAGCTTAAGTTACTCCTTATTATATCAGCTATCTGGCAAAAAAAGTTCCGTCAAAATCGGTTCAGCCATTTCAGAGATTAGCCGCAACAAATATACAGATAGACAAAAATTGTAATAAATGTTATTTTGGTGTATTTACCGTATTTATATTGATATGCATGTAGTAAAAAACGGTTATTTCAATATTACAAACAGACACTCCAATTGTGTTTATATGTATAATTTTATTTATATTTTTATATTTCTTTGACCTTTTTTATACTACGATGGTGGCAAACAAGCATACGGCCCATCTGATGGTAAATGGATACCGTTGCCTATGAACTCCTGAAACACCAAGGGTACCAACGTAACACGTGCGCGTTGCCGACCCTTAAGAAATCTTAATAAACCCTTCTTAAAAAATTCCATGCTGTAGAGTCGTGAGAAAACCTCGGCAGGTAATTGATTCCACGATCTATGTATACGCGGGAGGAAGCTCCAGTCAGGGCAGGGCACATAGCTCGTAGGACAGATGGTCGTTGGGGCAGTAAAGTCCTCGAGTGGCGACCGCGGACCGGAAGACGCAGCGTGGGAAGGCCTCCAGCAAGGTGGACCGACGATCTGGTCAAGATCGCTGGAAGGCGTTGGATGCGAGCAGCGCAGGACCGATCGTCGTGGAGATCTTTGGGGGAGGCCTATGTCCAGCAGTGGACGTCTTCCGGGCTGCGATGATGATGATGATGATTATTATTTTTTCCTAACCCATTAATTATACCTATATTAGGGTCGGCAATGCACACGTGACACCCCTGGTGTGACCTACGGTAACCATCAGATGAGGCGTATGCTTGTTTTTCACCACCGTAGTATAAAAATCTTCATTTAATATTTATAAAAAAGTTTTTGAAGTCAAATATATCAGGTTATCATCCCCACACGCTAGAACCTAAGTGGTCTCGGACAGTGCGGTTTCAGAGGAGCTTCCTCCCGCGTACACTTAGATTGTGGAATGAACTACCTGCCGTGGTTTTCTCATGAAACTACAGCATGGGGTTTTCCAAGAAGGGTATATTAAGGCTTCTTAAGGGTCGGCAACGCGCACTTAAGGGTCTCAGGCGTCCATAGGCTACGGTAACCATTTACCATCAGATGGGCCGTATACTTGTTTGCCACTATAATAATATGGAGGAAAGAATAGAAGCACATCTTTTACACAGAACTTGAGGAAGGCAAGCGAAAGCATGGCAGACAACTCCTCAGGTACTAGGATGTGCTGAAGCGACACATGAAGCAGTGCGACATCAATAAAAAAAAATGCCCGGAGTGGACAGCGCTTGTTAAATCTAGCATCAAAGCCTTTGTAAACCAGCAGCTCTTTGAGCTGGATGCCAGACTACCTGCGGCTATCAGCTATAATTATCTGTACGGTGTGCTCTCATGCCAGCAATGTGCGAGGATTTTTGTAAACAAAATTAATAATAATAATAATCTCAGGCCAATTCACACAGAGCCATCAAGACCCAAGTTAAGCTAGCTAGAGCTTGTGTTATGGGTACTAGATAACTGACACATATACATAGATCTTTTTTTTTTGTAAATACATTATACATAGAAAACACCCAGACCGATACAAACAATCATACTCATGAATACAAATGTTTGTGCCGTGCGAGGAATCGAACCCGCGACCATCGGTCGTAAAGCGGTGTGCTTGACCGCTAGACCACCGAGGTCGTCAATTGGTTACAAAACCCACATGCGAGCACATCAACAGCAAAACCGGAGTTGAAGCCAGTACCGTGCCGAAATCAGCCGGGATGACATCATCATCATCAGTAGTATAAAAAAAATTACATTACATATCATAGAAAGATAGCATATGCAGACGATTTATTACAAAGTATTATTAAATAGTAATAAAATATTTTTATTACCAATTGCAGCAATATCCAGTTTCTTGTATAAACGGTTCTTCTTTGCGACTTGTTCTTCATTCAGGTCGTGTATTCTCCATATACGAGCCATTTCGTCAATAAACACCCTTATATTTGTTATATTTTGCAATAAAACAATCCCTTTTAAAATACCTGGAAATTTACCATTCATTATTTTTGAACAAAGACTTTATTAATACACTTTACAGCTTAATGTCAACAAGCTGCACCCGCGACTTCGTCCGCGTGGAATTTAACTTTATTTTTCTAAAATAAAATCAGCTAAGTTACTCCTTATTACATCAGCTACCTGCCAATAAAAGTCCCGTCAAAATCGGTCCAGCCATTTCAGAGATTAGCCGGAACAAACAGATAGATAGACAAAAATTGTAAAAAATGTTATTTTGGTGTATGTACCGTATTTATATACATACGCATGTAGTAAAACATGGTTACTTCAATATTACAAACAGATTTTATTTACATGTATAGATAACTATTTATTATTAAAAATAATTGAAATAAGTTTAGAATTTAAAATATGTTTATATGACAGAGAACCGTGTTTACTAATTCTAGGATATGTTAACAAAAATTACAATTCCTAGGTTAAATAAAAATATCTCTACAGAGCAAAGATACGTAATTATTAGTTATTAATAGAGTATTTGTGTGACCAAACTATTTGGTGAGCTTAAATGCAAAGTATAGAAATAGAATAGAATAGAAATAATCTTTATTCATATAAATTTAATATAAGCACTTCTGAGTCACATTTTTTTATTATACCACTCATTCAGAACGCAGACTCATCAGTTCTCATTCAGAGTCTAGGAAACATCGAGGTAGAAACTTGTGTGTTTCTCTGCTAAATAAATGTAGTTTTAAGTAGATTTACGTTAACACGGATTAAGCGGACAATCCACATAGAAACCTGATTGAGTGTGTAACACTCAATCTTTGTTCAATCAGATAACATTGTTTTTAGTATAAATTTTAAGTTATAAATATTGCAAAAACATTGTTTTGCTGTAAATATTTATTCATACTTGTTGGCGACCGACCGCCGAACTCTTTTGATATTTTTATTATTTTTAAATTTATATTTTTGAAGAGTTCTTTTTTATATGTCATGCTTTTGATATACTTCAATTTATCTTATTATTCCATCATTGTCTTTCATATAGTTCGCAATTGTACATATTAATATATTATTATTGCAAACTACGTGTTTTCATCATTTAGACACCCATACAGTCCACCGATCCGTTATATTTTGGTCCTTTCGTCGCCGTAATACTGAAATTTCATACTTTTGGTTGTTTTCGCTGCCGTAAGTTGAAATTTATCGACCTAAATTAATTTCCAAATTTTCATTTTCATTTTCATATTGCATTACATTTTATCATTTATCATTTCTATTTTGCGTCATAATTTTCATTGTTTAACATGGTGGAAACACGTAGCAAAAGTAAATCAGTTGCGAACTTGACGGCTGTAGAAGTCGAACGGCCGCTTCGCGATCCTCCCGAGCGATCGCTCCGCGACCAGCCGGCTTCAACAACCGCAATTACGAACGTATCGGCATCATCGGCTAGAATAGTCGCACAAACGGCGGACGCCACCACTTCGGTACCAGCATCATCTCGCTGTACCAAGCGTCCTAGTGACACCGCTAGCTCACATCAAAGACTCGATGCCCATACATCATCACCTCATAAGACACAAAGCTGTTGCAGTAAAGAACGCTCGCAGTCTTCGCGGTCGTCCGCGACTGTCCGCGCTCAGAAGCTCGCCATCGAAGCGGAACTCCTGCGGAGCAGATTAGCACGGCAACGTGAGCTCGCACGTCAGGCGGAACGCGAGCACGAACTAGCTCGCCTGGAGTCCGAGGCTGAGCAGAGAGAGTTGGAAGCGAAGCTCGCCGCATTGGATTGCAAAGATAAGTCTGCGCATTCACGTAGTTCTCGTCTTTCCATTCGCGATACCGAAATACGTACAGCGACATGGGTTTCACAACAAAATGCGAACATGACCATGGCACATGTGAACATACCTGGGAAGACACCGACTGTCACCTTGGATGATATCCAAGGCCCCAGATTACAGCCGGCTGTCTTTTCCACCACGGTCCCGTCACATGTACCACATGTCAACCACGCAAACCAATCGAAACCTGCACGTACCATTGACGACAACAACTACGCAACTATTGCGAGTCTTCCACCAATTGAGCATCCACCAGCGGACCCTATAGTACAACTTACATACGCAATCACTAGTCTGTCTAACCATTCCAAAAAGCCCGATCTCGTCCCCTTCTCAGGTGACGTAAATCAATGGATGGCCTTTAAGTGTAGTTACGAGAGGACTAAATCCAATTTTTCTACAGCAGAGAACCTAACACGTTTAAACAACGCTATTCGGGGACCAGCGTACCAGGCCGTGGCATCACTCCTGTGGACCTCCAGCGACCCTCAGGTCGTCATGAGGACACTGGAGCAGACTTACGCCCGACCAGAAATTCTCGTCGCCCGTGAGGTCGCAGAGCTACGTAACACCCCTAAGTTAAGTTCTCCTGAGGATTTAAATTCACTTGCGAACAGATTGCGTAATTTTGTAACAACTTTAAAATTAGTGAATCAAAACGATTATTTATATTCACCGGAGCTATTTCGTATTATTTTACTGAAGTTAAGCGAATATACTAGAGCTCGCTTTACGGATTTTGCCGCAACTTACGTAAGTGAGCAACAATGTCTACCAAAATTAGAGTTGTTGTCGCAATTCTTATTAGTAGAAGCGGACAAGCAACTCCGTTATAATTTTGTGCAAGACTATACTGTCAAGCCATACACCACGCATCCCTCTATGGCTGATAGTCATTTAAAAAAGGAGACATTACGCATGACGCCTACTAGTAATAATCTACTCGAATGTTCGTACTGTAAACAAGGGGGCACAGTATCAAATCCTGTAAAACATTTTTATCTCTCGCAGTAGATTACAGATGGCGTTGGGTTCGAAATAACAAAGTCTGCTATCGCTGTCTCAAATCGAACCCTCATAAGTGGAACAATTGTCGTGTTAAATGTTGCGGAGTCAATGGATGTTCACGGCGTCACCACTCACTCCTTCACGGCATGCCGCACGATGATCCTACTCTTAGTCCAATATCTAACATCCATTGCACTCAAATACTACCAGACAATTCACCCATTCTTAGTGATATTGGTAGTAATAGTCATAACAACGAACCAAATAGAACCATCAACTCATCTGACGTCCTAATCAATATGACAAGTTTACCTTTACGTCCGCGTGGCTTGCTGAAAGTCTTACCGGTCATCCTCGAAGGCCCTGATGGCGAGTACGAAACCACAGCGCTTCTGGACGAGGGTAGCACTGCGACGCTAATCGATGATAAGGTAGCAATGCGCATCGGCGCCAAATCCACCTGTGGTGAGCATCTTCGTATTGAAGGTGTAAATGGTATGTCTAAAGACGTTAAAGTTGGTTATGTGAATTTTTATATCCGAGGACGTAACCTATCCGACCGCTACTTAGTGGAGCACGCACGTGCCATCAACCCACTAAGCCTGCGCGTTCGGAATGAAAATACCGTCAACTACATGCATTACCAGCACCTGTCAGATCTATCCGATGAACTTTCATACGCAAACATTACACCTACTGTTCTCATTGGAGCTCCCGATTGGCATTTATCTCTCAGTCGCGAAGTACGAAGCGGAAAAAAGAACGAACCTGTTGCCTCTAAAACATTACTAGGATGGGTACTCCACGGTGCACTTTCATTATCATCCAATCCATCTGAAAACGTCGACGATATTATCTGTCATAACGTCCTAGATACTCCCATAAAGCAACAGTACGACACTGATTCTATGTGTACGACAAATATATCGTCAATTAGGGATAATGACAAACGAGCAAATACCTGTACTGCATTCAGGCATAAGCTCGCGCTGCATTTTACACACAACGGTGTTATCAGTGATGTTTCTATGTGTAGTAAAGGGCGTATAGCACCACTGAAACCGCTCTCCATACGTCTACTGGAGCTACAGACGGCACTTACGCGATGCACACAGATTATTCTACGCGCGTTTTTATTCAATCCTTTCAGGCCGTCATTTAATTATTTTACTGCTTACATAAATCCGTACAATGAGAGGTGGATTCCTAGCCCTCTCAGATTTCTTTTAGAACTACTAGATTTCGGGTTAAATGTAAACATCACTGACGCAGAGGAGACTTTACTAGACTTGCTCTCCTGCGTCCCATTACCCGATCCTCCGTGGCTTCGCATTCTCCAAGATGCATGTCTATTTCGGTTTAAGCTGTCTCGGCCAATACTCTCAAATTCTAAATTGTTTTTAGATGGCACCACATTTCCCTCACGACTTTGTGCAAGAGACGTCACAGAAGCCCAGAAGACGCCTCAACAAGCTGAAATAGACAACTTCCCTGAAGAGCGGAAGGCCAAGCAGCCCGTGCCCAGCTATTTTGCAACACGCACCGGTACCAGAGGAAAGCGGGTTATTACGAATACACTATCACTCATTATACTACATTGCCGTCGCTACTTTGTACGACTTCTGATGCTCTGTCATCATATTCACCCAGTACGAAAGAAAGTCTAGAATTTAAGAGCGTACAATACCATCAGTATTATAAAGATGGAATGGCAAGTTATTAAGCCACAGACCAGCGACTGGCCCTTTATGTACATATAGTGGGATATACTCGATTGCGACGATAACCTATGATATTTATTGACCGCCCATCGCCGACCCACCAAACAGATAAGACTGGAGGTGGTTGCTGCGCCCCATTGAGGACATCTGGGCACGGTAGCTGCACGAATATTTGCCGACACTACGACCAAGAAGCCCGCACAGGATGACGTCGAACATAGTCGAGGGCGATGTGGTGCTTATAGCTAGGTTAATTTTAATTACAATAGAAGCGCGGCCGGTCACCACCGGCAGTTAGTGTTCCACTGGGGGCCCGGTATGTTGGCGACCGACCGCCGAACTCTTTTGATATTTTTATTATTTTTAAATTTATATTTTTGAAGAGTTCTTTTTTATATGTCATGCTTTTGATATACTTCAATTTATCTTATTATTCCATCATTGTCTTTCATATAGTTCGCAATTGTACATATTAATATATTATTATTCCAAACTACGTGTTTTCATCATTTAGACACCCATACAGTCCACCGATTCGTTATATTTTGGTCCTAAAATATATGGATGGAATAATAAGATAAATTGAAGTATATCAAAAGCATGACATATAAAAAAGAACTCTTCAAAAATATAAATTTAAAAATAATAAAAATATCAAAAGAGTTCGGCGGTCGGTCGCCAACATACCGGGCCCCCAGTGGAACACTAACTGCCGGTGGTGACCGGCCGCGCTTCTATTGTAATTAAAATTAACCTAGCTATAAGCACCACATCGCCCTCGACTATGTTCGACGTCATCCTGTGCGGGCTTCTTGGTCGTAGTGTCGGCAAATATTCGTGCAGCTACCGTGCCCAGAATACTAATATTATGAATCTGAATAGAATAGAATAGAAAATAATTTATTCAAATAAACACTTTTGAACAGTCATAACAATTTGTTTTTGATCTACCACTAGTTCGGAAAGCTGTCTCATCACAAGAAGAACGAGCAAGAAACTTGTGTGTTGCTCTTTTAAATAATCCTTGTAAGTTTAAATTTACAAATCGAAACGTGTAAATACAAACTACCAACCAGCACAAATTTTTTGGGTCAAATATAAATATGTATACAATAAGATTAAATCAGTCGTAGTGATAAGAGCAGACCAATCCCTACAAGCATTCGTTCACGAGTATGACGGATGAGCCAGCCATCACTGCGCTCGAGTGAAAATCTGTGTATTTGATTATAACCTGTTCACGGCGAAACGGTTGAACGAGTCTTAATAAAATTTGATATGCTTATAGTATCACGGAGATGAACATAGGTCATACCGTATCTCAAAAAACACAGGTAAGGGGGTAAAATAGGGGTTGAATTTTACGCAAAGTCGCGGGTAATAACGAGTATAAGATAAAGCTTAAGATGTTTGATGATCCGTATGCAAGGAGTACTTGCAAAATATGAGTACCGAATTTTCACGATAAAAAACAATATTTACGGCGGGAGAGAAAGAATTTTAGCGTAAGTACCGATCAACTGATATTTCAAAAATTGGGGCAGCCATCCATCGCAGCCTGAAGCGAAATTTTTAATAGGCTGTAGCTCAGTAGACGAGGAAGCCATGTTGGTATTTCAGACACGGTGTCTAAGAAAATGTAAAGAAACTTTCAATCGACTCGTTCCATAGATGATAAATTTATTTCTAGTTCAGTTATTTTATGGTTTCTACTTTTAAATTATAAGATTAACTAGCTTTTGCCCGCGGCTTCACTCGCGCTAAGAAGTATTATTATTAATTAGGTATAGTTTTTGCGGCTTTACTTTTGTTTAGCATGTGTAGAAATTAGGGCCTACAAAACTTCATTGTACACAATATTCTTAACTAGTCTGTCATTAGGCGCTAAAACTATCAAGCTATTTAGAATAGAATAGAATAGAATAGAAAATCATTTATTCAAATAAACTTAATTTAAGCACTTTTGAATAGTCATAACAATTTGTTTTTTATCTACCACTCGTTCGGAAAGCTGTCTCATCACAAGAAGAACGAGCAAGAAACTTGTGTGTTGCTCTTTTAAATAATCCTTGTAAGTTTACATTTACAAGTCGAAACGTGTGAATACAAACTACCAACAAGCACTAATTTTTGGGTCAAATATAATCATGCAATAAGATTAAATCAGTCGTAGTGATAAGAGCAGACCAGTCCCTACAAGCAGCACTCGTTCACGAGTATGACGGATGAACCAGCCATCACTGCGCTCGACCATATTTTAGGGAGCCCATTGACCCGGGTTTATTGGGTGAACTTACTCGTGAGCAAGCAACACAAAACTGTCCATGAGAGAAGCAATGTTCCTTCAAGTCAATACCCGCAAATTTGAGAGTTTGCCCCTACTTTCATCCCCTATTTTATCCTCTTAGGGGTGTAATTTATCAAAATCCTTTCTTATGGAATGCCTACGTCATAGTAGCTTTATGCATGCAAAGTCTCAGCCCGATCGGTGAAAAATTGACAATGTTTCATACAAATTTTCATCCCCTATTTTATCCCCTTGGGGGTAGAATTAATCAAAATCCTTTCTTAGCGGATTCCTACGTCATAATAACTACCTGCATACCAAATTTCAGCCCGATTCGTCCAGTGGTGTGGGCTGTGCGTTGATAGATCACTATGTCAGTCAGTCAGTCACCATTGAGTTATATATATTTAGATATTATTTTAATTTCTTATAAAGTTATTAAAAATATGAACAGCTTTTTAATATTGGCTTCAGTGGTGTAGCGATTTCGTACTCTTTACTTCCGATGATCGCTGCTCGATTCCCCGATTTCCCTCGTGTGAATGAATTAATGAATGCAAATACAACCCTGGATTATTCAAGTCTATGGTAAATAGATATCTTCTGGGTGAGCGCGCTACATCCTAGGTCTTGCCATCATTTACCATCAGATGAGGTAAGACCAAGCGCAATCCCATTATTAATAAAATAAAATGCAAGCATTTCTTTTCATTAATTCATTCACACGATGCCATTTAGTCATAAACTAAGCAGACCTTTTGCTATGGGTACTAAATAAGTAATAAAAATACTTATGTACATTTTTTCCTAAATACATACACCAACACTAATACAACAATCAGAGTCATTATTACGAATGTTTGTATCCTGCGGGGAATCGAACCTGCGATTATCAAGAGTAAAACTTTATTTCTAGCATTTTGATTGTCTTATTAATATTATAACCGCGAACGTTTGTGAGTATGTATGGATGTTTGTTACTCTTTCACGCTAAAACTACTAAACGGATTATTAAAAAAAATTACAATAAAGTAGCTTACAATAACATATAGTCTATAAATTTCACGCGGGTACAGCTAGTAATATATATATAGTACACCCAGAATATAAACAATTCGGCTCATTATTGCAAATGTTTGTATCGTGCGAGGAATCGATCCTGCGATTATCAAGAGTAAAGCGCTAAATCAATTAAACTATATTTTTTATTATTATAATGGATCGGTGGACTGTATGGGTGTCTAAATGATGAAAACACGTAGTTTGCAATAATAATATATTAATATGTGCAATTGCGAACTATACGAAAGACAATGATAGAATGATTGAAATGTATAAAAAAACATGACGTATAAAAAGAACTGTTCTAAAAATATAGATTTAAAAATAATAAAAGTATCAAAAGAGGTTGCGGCGGCCAGTCGCCAACAGTTATATTACTATAAAGATTGTTTTTATTCCATTCTACTGCTGTTATAGTAAATTAAATTATATTATACATACATACATTGTATACATCCCAAAATCAAACCCAACACTCGCGCTTCAACAAACATGTTCCGGTCCTCCACGTACAAACGTGTCATATATATGCTCATAGTTGTACACTGTACTAAAATGCATGGTATTATATAAACAAAACGCCAGTTCCTCCAAAAAAACGAACTGCTATCGAAAAATCTTATGTTAATACGGTCGAACATATCGAAACATATGAGGAAAGGTCTTATGTATTCAGATGGATAGCTCTGGTCCATTTTTTACAGATCAATGATATGTCTACCAAAACAACATGGGGCATCTACTTATATAGATGGGTTATACCCATATTTGCTGCATGATTTTCATATAAATATTAAATGCACACATTTCTGCGGTACTTCAATCGTAGGTGGCAATTTAAAGGTAACTTTAAACTGAATTTCATGACGAATAATCTATACTTATATACAGACTAACAGTTATCCGCGGATTTGTTCACGTGGAATTTAACTATTTTCTCTTTAAAGAAATAAAAGTAGCGTGAGTTACTCTTTGTAACTTTAGCTAACTGCGAGTAAAAGTCTCGTCAAAATCGGTCCAGGCGTTTTTCTATTAAAATAAATTTGTAAAATAAAAGTAGCCTAAGTTACTCCTTATAACTAGCTATCTGCAGGTAACAGTGTCTTGCTAGTCACTGAAACGGTCCAGCCGTTTCAGTGATGAACAAAAACAGACAGACAGACAAAAAATTTTTTTTATATATTCTATCACTCCGCTATAACACTTTTTATAGCTTTATAATTAATTTTATTATATAATAACTACCGTGTATACATTTGCATTTATTGAAAAGCTGTTAATTTTAAAATTAAAAAGTTAAAAGTCTGTCACTATAAGGAGTTTAAAGACATAACTTAATAAGAATGAATGACGAAATGATAACAAAAGTTAAGTTTTTTATACAGAACCGGCAAATGTGGTAAAAGCTAGAGAAAATAAAACAAAACATTTGCAAGCAAATATTCCTTATCTACTGGAAGGAAATAACGTATTTTATTTCGAATTACTGGGTTGCAGTAAATATCTGCTGTTCAATACTATGGTATTGTGATGGAAATTATGTTATCAAATAAACATAAGTTGCAAATCAAGGAAGCTATAGCTCGGTAGGTATAAACACTGAGTAAAGCATGTCAGAGTAGCGGGTTCAGAACCTTGTAGGTTGGAAAGGTTTTAGATAAAAAAATAATAATGTGCCAAGGTCGCTATATGAATATATTTATTACTACCTACACACCCCGGCTTTGCCCGGGTGTACATGTATTATACATATAATAAAGTATTAAACTATTTTCTTTCTTTCTTAAATAAAGTATTTTTTAAGCGTGTAACAAAACCTCGTTTGTTTAATGAAACAGCCATGTTTCCACATGCCGTGGTCGTTATTAACAACGATCGGTTGGTTGCAAATCTAAGGGAATTAAAATAAACACCGAGTAAAGCATGTTAGAGTAGCGGGTTCAAAACCTTGTATGTTGGAAAGGTTTTAGATACAAAAATAATAGTATGCCAAGTTCACTATATGAATATATTTATTACTAACTACACACCCCGGCTTCGCCCGGGTATACATGTATTAAACATATAAACCTTCCTCTTGAAGCACTCTATCTATTAAAAAGACCGCTTCAAAATCCGTTGCGTAGTTTTAAAGATTTAAGCATACATAGTGTAAGATGTACTTGTATAAGATGATGACTTGGCTTTGAAGCCGGCTACCCAAGGGAAACCCCAAGTAGCGCCCGTGACTTGTGACACTGGGGGTAGGTTTAAAAGGTCCTTTTAGAATGCATTAACACTCACCTTCACTACTTGCAGCTTCCCTCCAGGCCCAACTAAGACCGGGATGAACCCATTCCTAATACAATTCACTTTAGTATCCAAAACACAACCGGCACGCTCTGCACTCGTCGACTGAATGCCGCGGCTCACCCAACCAAAGGATTATTCAACTACCGACCTCCCTATTTATAGACCGAAGTTAGTGTAGTAGGGAGAGAAGCGGAGGTAACGGTTATCTTCTGACAAACAACGTGGTTCGGTCTATAAATACTAGATGGCGCTATTTACCAAATAGATCATATTCAGATACTCAATTATATTCATAATCTTACAATAGGGACGGACAGACAGCGACAGCGACTTTATTTTATACTATGTAGTTTTATACTGTGTAATGTGGACTGATGACCCCGTTGCTAGCAATGTACAATGTCAGGTTGACCTCCAAGCGGTTCCCCCTGGAAACCATCGTGATAAATTCCTGGTGAATTTATCACGATGGGCTAACTGACCTGACCTCATGCTCATCTTATCATCCCCCACTGGTGCCCCACCAGCGTAAACCGTTAGCGCAGGCGGGTGCAGCATTCCATTATCATCCATAAAAAAAAAAACGAACCATCAATTAACAACACGTCTACTTAATCTAGATAGACATAACCTCAAAATAATGATAGGGACAATAACGGGCCATTGTTCCTTAAACAAACACTTATACAAAATAGATGCTACAGATAGTCCCCTTTGTCGGGGCTGTTTTGAAGCTGAAGAGACGGCGGCTCACGTAATCCTGGAGTGCACGGCAGTGGCCCAACAACGAAAACAAATCCTCGGAACGGTGAGGTCGCTCCGTGAAGCCTGCGAAGACACCAGGAGTCTTCTGCGCTTGGGAGGAGCTTGGCTGGCTACTTTAGTAGTCTGGCTCTGCACGCACAACGGCCCGAATGAGAGGCTAATTGCGGATACTGGAATCCAACATACATTTACATTTTTTCCCCTGGTGTTGCGGGTGCTCATGGGCGGCGGTAATGACTTACCATAAGGTGAGCCGTAAGTTTGTCCCGTAGGGGACAAAGTATTACATATATAAAAATCGACATTTATACCTGTGAATACTTCAAAAATTAATTGTGACTAGATCTTAGTAATATTATAAATGCGAAATTTTGTTTGTATGGATAGATGGATGAATGAATGTTTATTACTCTTTCACGCAAAAACTACTTAACGGATTATGATGAAACTTCACTGTAATATAGGTTATACATCGGAATAACACATCATTACATAGTATAAAACAAAGTCGCTGTCTGTCCGTCCCTATGTATGCTTAAATCTTTAAAACTACGCAACGGATTTTGAAAATTTTTTTTTAATAGATAGAGTCATTCAAGAGAAAGGTTTATATGTATAATACATGTACACCCCTGCAAAGCCGGGGCGAGTATTAGGCTATACTTTAAAAAGATATTATGTAAATTGGCTAATTGTAATGCAGACGTAGTTGCGCGGACCAGTTAGTATTATAATAAGTAAATTAACATTAAAACAAACATAGTAAACGTTCCCGAATATGATAATATTATGTAATGTATCCTGACTTTATGCAAACACATGAAGTTGTTTTAGTTGAGCCCGTAATATCAATAACCGTTTAAACTTCCAGACCAATGTAAGAAGTTGGCCAGTTTACTTGATCCGAGATTGCTTTTTTTATGTATTACGTACCGTGGTGACTACCAAACAAATAGTCATAATTTTTGGTAGTTTGGATAGTCGATCATGGTGCAAACATGGGAGTTTTATGTATAATAATAATAATATCTCAAGACAATTCACACAGCGCCATCTAGACCCAAGTTAAGCTAGCTAAAGCTTGTGTTATGGGTACTTACTGATACAAATACATAGATATTTTTTTCGTAAATACATATATGATATATATAGAAAACACTCAGACCGATACAAACAATCATACTCATGAATACAAATGTTTGTGCCGTGCGAGGAATCGAACCTGCTACGGTGTGCTAGACCGCTAGACCACCGAGGTCGTCATAATAAGCTGAATGTTTGTTTGTAACGAACAAATATTTTATCTACATTACCCCTCCGACCAATCCCCCGTCCAATTCAAACGGGGATCGATATTACGACGGACTGGGACGAGGTTCGAACCCCTAGCGGTGCCTTCTGACTAGAGTCGTATCCGTCAGGCGAGAGCGGAGACTTCAGCCACTCCATAAGTCCTTCCTTTGGTTTGGAGTGCCATCTGCACTCGCCCCCTGTCGTCCAGTGAAGGTGTAAAGGTCAGCTCCGACCAATAGCATTAGAGTAGTCATAAGAACTGGACGGTAGGGAAAAAAAAATTATAATGTAAAAAATTTGACGTTCATAAGCGTCTAAAATGTCCTACATGAATAAATGATTCTTGAATTTGAATTTGAATTACTTTTGCAGTTAATTACTATTGTAAGTCCCTTATAAATACATGTTAGCATAATTTGTGGAATGGCCTCCGAAAACAAGGATGTTAAACTCTCTTTAAATAGTTGTGGCAGCTAGTCTTTTGAACCCATATTATAAATGGAGCGTATGCTCTTTCTGCTATATAAATATAGTTTTAATATTAGCCATCTCGTGCCACTTTGTTATAATACACAAGGCTCTGTTGGCTATTTGTATTAAACTTATTTACAGGACTAGTGCTACGCCGCGGCTTCGCACGAGTGCTATTACAATGAAACCTAAGTTTATCTATACATATAAATAAAGTTGCAGTGTCTGTTTGTGATATTGAAATAACCGTGTTTTTACTACATGCACATGAATATAAATACGGTACATACACCAAAATATAATTTTTAACAATTTTTGTTTGTCTGTTTGTTCCGGCTAATCTCTGAAATGGCTGGGCCGATTTTGACGGGACTTTTATTGGCAGGTAGCTGATGTAATAAGGAGTAATTTAGGCTACTTTTTGCGAGGAATCGAACCCGAGACCATCGGAAGTAAGGCGGTGTGCTAAACCGCTAGATGGCCGAGGTCATCGAACATATTGATTGTGAACACAAAATATTCTATAACAAATCTTATTTTTATATATTGCGCCAAAACTGATAACATTATGTTTAATTTAAAACTTTACTCGACTATTAAGACCAAAACAAATGTTATCATTGCGCGGAGATCGAACCTGCGACTATAGCACGTGACATAAATCATATAATATTGTACAACTGTCAATGAAGGTCTTATAAATAACAACACAATGCGATACAAACAAACCTACATGCCAGGAAATAAGGAAGTACGCCAATTAACCGCTACACTTCGACGTTTACAAATAAAGCAATTCAGCTATGCTACTTAACTTAAACTCTATAATCCAGCGAACTAATTCCGTTGAACAGAACCAGTTTTTAAACTACATAAGTGTAATTTAATTTCGTAACTATTACGTGATCAGTTCCGCGTACAGTTCGGTATTGACATTGGCTGGATGGACAACTTTCTCCTCGCCACTGAGTAATATTGAAAATAGTCAGTACGCGACAATATGTATGCATACTGATGAACATAAAGGGATAATTTAAACAAACTATATAAATTTCAATATAAAATATAGCCTATGTATTATTCTAATGCATTAATAATAATAATAATTACAAAAAGGAAATAAAAAAAAAGAAGGATATGCGAACAAAAGGCGGCCTTATCGCTTAAAGCAATCTCTTACAGACCAGGCAATAGCTATATTACTGTAAATTTTCATTAAAATTCATTAAGTAGTTTCTCCTATTCAACCACTCATTCGGAACGCAGACTCATCACAAGAAGAATGAGAAAGGAACTTGCGAATTCTATCAGTAGTTTCTTTTATTCAACCACGCATTCGGAATGCAGACTCATCACAAGAAGAATGAGAAAGGAATTCGCGAATTCTATCGGTAGTTTCTTTTATTCAACCACTCATTCGGAATGCAGACTCATCACAAGAAGAATGAGAAAGGAACTCGCGAATTCTATCAGTAGTTTCTTTTATTCAACCACTCATTCGGAATGCAGTCTCATCACAAGAAGAATGAGAAAGGAACTCGCGAATTATATCAGTAGTTTCTTTTATTCAACCACTCATTCGGAATGCAGACTCATCACAAGAAGAATGAGAAAGGAATTCGCGAATTCTATCGGTAGTTTCTTTTATTCAACCACGCATTCGGAATGCAGACTCATCACAAGAAGAATGAGAAAGGAACTCGCGAATTCTATCAGTAGTTTCTTTTATTCAACCACTCATTCGGAATGCAGACTCATCACAAGAAGAATGAGAAAGAAACTCGCGAATTCTATCAGTAGTTTCTTTTATTCAACCACTCATTCGGAATGCAGACTCATCACAAGAAGAATGAGAAAGAAACTCGCGTGGTGCTCTTGTAAATATCTTAAACCTTAAATAACATGGTGGTGGGGTCCTATTTTTGTCCGCCACTTTATCTAAAGAGACCTAATCTTCCCAGCTTTTTCTTTTCGACCAGGAATAGAAAGTTGCAGTGCCAGGTTTCCGACGTAATCAGGCGGCTTTCTCTTCACGTGTCCATTGAGTAATTTTTTCATTGAAAATAGTAATATTGAAAATAGTGAGTACACGACAATACTGTATGTATACTAATAAATATAAAGCGAGGGAAGGGAATTGTTAGTAATGTACCATGTCAGGTAGACCTCCACGAGGTTCCCTCTGGAAACCATCGTGATAAATTACTGGTGAATTTGTCACAATGACTATGTTAGGTTTACTGACCTGATCTCATGCTCATCTTATCATCTGACCTGCTAGCGTAAAACAGCGCAGGCAAGGGTGCACCATTCCATTATCATCCCATGTTCATCTTATCATCCTCCACTGGTGCCCCGCCAGTGTAAACTGTTAGCGCAGGCGAGTGCACCATTCCATTATCATCCCATGTTCATCTTATCATCCTCCACTGGTGCCCCGCCAGTGTAAACTGTTAGCGCAGGCGAGTGCACCATTCCATTATCATCCCATGTTCATCTTATCATCCTCCACTGGTGCCCCGCCAGTGTAAACCGTTAGCGCAGACGAGTGCACTATTCAATTATCATCCCATGTTTATCATATCATCCTCCACTGGTGCCCCGCCAGTGTAAACCGTTAGCGCAGACGAGTGCACTATTCAATTATCATCCCAAAAAACTTGCCCCGCCAGTGTAAACCGTAAAGCAGACGATACATTATATAAACTAGCAGTGTAAACCGTTAGCGCAGACGATATTTTAATACATATCATCCTCCACTGGTGCAAAACCGTATAAAATATCCCATGTTTATCATATCATCCTCCACTGGTGCCCCGCCAGTGTAAGGCAAGTGCAACATTCCATTATCATCCGTAAAAAAAGTATAAAGGGATACATTATATATACTAGCAGTGCCCGCGGTGATATTTTAATACATAAGTTGCAATATTATACTGTATTATTCTAATAAGTATATTACAAAGTCTCAAATCCATTCGCTAGTTTTGCGTGAAAGAGTAACAAACATCCATACTTACAATCTTTCGCATTTATTATTAAGATTCAGATATAATTGCTGAACGGATGCTGCTTGTGGGGACTGGTCTGTTCAGGTTGCGAACACTGATTAGATTTTTTTTTATATAGCATATGCTGGTGGTCACTCTATTCTCCCAAATTTGAATTTAAATGAAATAGTATTATTGTAAATATGTACAACATTAAAAAAAAATACGAGCTGAGTTTCTTGTCAGTTCTTCTCATCTCGAAATCATTACGAACTGACGGTAGATTTGACATATCGTAAGAGAATATAATAGACCTACATGAATAAAGATATTTTGAATTTTGAATTTTTTTTAATTAAACATGAAAATATTTATCAATGCAGAATTTATAAAACACCCACGTTCAAATAAATAATTTTTATTCAAGTAAACACCCAGACCGATACAAACAATCATACTCCTGAATACAAGTGTTTATACCGTGCGAGGACTCGAACCCGCGACCATCGGAAGTAAAGCAGGGTACTAACCGCTAGACCACTGAGGTCGTCAAATGTCATAAAGCTATTACACACTGATTGGAATGTACAACAAGTCAGACAGGTGTCAAGAATGGCATTGAGTACAGTGTGGTGGGGACTTGATTAGGGTTGCCAACCTTTTCATTATTACCTTGCCTTTATCCCATTATTTGTGGTCGGTGCAATTCATTCTCTTCCACTGATCTCTATCGGTCGTCATATCTGAGCATACTCTCCTTTATTCATATCATCTTTCACACGATCCATCCATCTTTTTTTAGGACGTCCCATCCGTTTCCATCCACGTTCGTATTATACACTTTCCTTAAGACGTGATTCTCGTTCCTTCGCGTAATTTTTGTGACAAAAAAAACGTATTAACTGGTTTGGATAAGAAAAAAAAATTGTATTATGGAAAAAATATTTTACTAATTTTAGTGCTGGTTGGTAGTTTGTATTCACACGTTTCGACTTGTAAAATGTGAACTTACAAGGATTGTTTAAAAGAGCAACACACAAGTTTTTTGCTCGTTCGTTTCGATTAAAAAAAATTGTTATGACTATTCAAAAGTGCTTAAATTAAGTTTATTTGAATAAATGATTTTCTATTCTATTCTATTCTATTCTATTTATGTTTTGTCTGTGTTTGTGTTGTGGAGTGGAATTGTGCTTTTAACACTTGAGTTGTCACAACTGACAATTGACATCTAACATTTCGTTCAGTAATTTTAAAACGTACCCATAATGAGTATTTTGTTTTACGCATCACAGTGAAGGTTGAAAATAAAGTATATTTGCATACTTTATTTGTATGTAAAAGTATAAAGTAGATATGTTATTATAAAGTATGGTTGGCAACCCTAGACATGACCGTCGACGGTGGGGTAACAGCTGGTGGGACAGTCGTCCGAACGGCAGTGCAGTGGTGAACATCAACGCCATCCTCTCACGTGGTACTGCGGTAGGTTCCGTGTTTATTACTGTGACTTTGGTGATGGTGATATAATTTTTAAGTTTATAAGTTATTCGTTATGTAAGTGATGATTTTTTTTTTAAATCAAATTCAAAAATCTTTTATTCATGTGGTACGTTTACGCCGCTTATGAACGTAATTTTTTTTATATTATAATTTTTTCGCTACCGTCCAGTTCAGTATATAGATCCAATTGAGAAGAACTGGCAAGATACTCAATTGTTTTTTTTTTTATATATTTTTTATATAGTGATATAATTGTGCCGAGAATATGGTTTTTGTATTTATTATTCCGTGTGTATGTTACGTACGATAGCGACGTATGCTTAGTACATTGACGGCCTCGGTGGTCTAGCGGTTTAGGACACTGCTTTACTTCTGATGGTCGCAGGTTCGATTCCTCGCGCCGTACAAACTTGTATTCTTGAATATGATTATTTGTATCGATCTGGGTGTTTTATATGTATATGATGTATGTATTTACAAAAAAATATCTAAGTATTTATATCAGTGTCTAGTACCCATAACACAAGCTCTGCTTACCGTGGGACTAGATGCCGTTGTGTTAATTGTCCAGGGTTATTTTATTATTATTGTCTTATATTCAGTTCTTATCTTCTATGATTACGGGTTCGATTCCGGATACGAACATTTGTATTAATATAATGGTTTGGATGTTTTACTAAAAAAAAATCTGTCAGTTATTTAGTAACCATATGTGTTATGGTTACTCAATAATCTCAGGTTGCTTTGGTACTAGATGGCGCTGTGTGAATTTTATAAGAGTTATTAGTTAAATATTTTCTTTTATTAATTTCATATCTATTTCATTGAGTCCTAACTGTAATATATAAATTTTACATCAATTAATTTTAAGAAAGAAAGAAATATTTTTAACTACTAGTGAGTGTATTTCTTTGATTATACATAGTCGCTAGATATACTTAGATATAGATAAACGCAGTTATCTCGAGATTTCCTCCACTTATTCATCAGGAATCAGTTGAATATATAATTCAGAAACAATGAAAATTAATAAACAAAATATGCACATAAATTATCAACTCATTTTACCTTTAGCGTTACTACATAACTACCTATCTACTAATAAATATTTATTAGGCAAAATCCATAAATTTTCCGCAAAACGCTTCATTCATTATTGTAATGAAAATATAATTCTCTATTAAATGAAAATTTTCACAGACTGTACCTATTTCTTCATTCTTCACCGAGGAATATATCAAATTCAAATTCAAAAATCATTTATTCATGTAGGACATTCTAGCCGCTTATGAACGTCAAGTTTTTACATTATAATTATTTTCCCCTACCGTCCAGTTCGGTATATAGATCCAATTGAGAAGAACTGGCAAGAAACTCAATTGAATTACTTTGTTTTAAAAGCCATTTACAATGTATATTTATATAGGTGTCTATGTCTAACATTAAATGAAAATCCCGTGCATGAACAACTATTGCCATGCACACTCGTCATTCAAGTAATCGTTTAGTGAGTAATGCATATTGCATTGCTCAGTAAATATGATTTAACAGATGTTTTGAATTTATTTAAGGGTAATTCCAATATATCCTTTGGTATCTTATTGTAAATTTTTATACATATTCCCATAAAATACCTATTGACTTTTTTTAAACGAAACTATATAAAAATAACCTAAAATAAAAATATGAAATACTGACGGATATTATCTAGTAGTATATTGGGTATTTTAATCAAATGTTAACTGACAGAGCTCTTATAATTAATATTTGATAATAATATTTAGGCTATCACTGTCTGTCCATCTCTATGTATGCTTAAATCTTTAAAACTGCGCAACGGATTTTTTCTATGTATGCACATAGAGATGGACAGACAGTGACAGCGACTTTGTTTTATACTATGTAATGAAAACCAACTAGCCTAAATATTCTTAGCAAATATTAATTATAAGAATAGAATAGAATAGAAAATCATTTATTCAAATAAACTTACATTGAAGCACTTTTGAATAGTCATTACATTTTTTTTAATCTACCGCTCGTTCGGAAAGCTGTGATGAGACTCACAAGAAGAACGAGAAAGAAACTTGCGTGTTGCTCTTTTAAATAATTTTATTATTACTTTACATTTTTAAGTTTGTGTGAATACAAACCACCAATTAGCACTAATTCAATTAAATACTCAAATAGAAAAAATATTGAATATATAACCAACTGGTTAAACAATTAATAAGAGGAAATCAGTCATAGTGATTAGAGCAGACCAGTCCCTACAAGCAGCACCCGTTCACGAGTATGACGGATGAGCCAAAGAGCTGTGTCAGTTAACATTTAAAACTACACAACGGATTTTGAAGCGGTTTTTTGTAAGTAATTGATAGAGTGATATAAGAGGACGGTTTATAGGTTAACATACGAGCGAAGCCGGGGCGTACAGCTATTGGTTTTTATTACATAGTATAAAACAAACTCGCTGTCTGTCTGTCCGACCCTATGTATGCTTAAATCTTTAAAACTGCGCAACGGATTTTTTTAATAGATAGCGTGATTCAAGAGGAATGTTTATATGTATAATTGTTGAGAAAACTCTTTTGATATTAATATATTTAAAGGTTTTTTTGTATTCTGTAATCATAAATATAAAAACAAAATTATATTGTGTCACCTTCTCTCTCTACCATCTTAACATTAAAATACAATTTTCAGTCATAAATAGTTTTATTACATATTTCTACAACAATAATACATGGAAGCAGGGGTGGGTAGATAGAATTTTATATTTTTAAAATTAGGTTTTAATAATTAAATAAAACAGCACGTTTCATTGCCACTAAACAAGATTTCTTCGATGGCGTCTTAACTGCGTCTTAATAATTTTTCAAATTAATTAATATTATACATGTTTACAATAATACAGATTCATTTTTAAATTCAAATTTGTGAGAATAGAGTGACCACAATCATATGCTATTGCAAAAGCAAATAGTCTAATCAGTGTTCGTAACCCAAACAGACCAGTCCCCACAAGCAGCACCCGTTCACGAGTATGACGGATGAGCCAGCCATCATCGATCCTGCCCACCACGTCGAAATAACTTGTAGACATACTAATCTGAATCCAAATAGAACATTCAATACAGCTATACATTAAAGCGATTCCATCACGCGCTTAATAGGCTTTTTATTTGGTCCAATTATTCGTGATAATCTGAATGAAGGTTTATACCAAACAATCTTATCTGTATTATGGGCATAAATATTATACTGTCCAACTAGCTGTTCGCGCGACATCGTCCGCGTGGAATTTAACATTATTTTTCTAAAATAAAAGTAGCGTAAAGAACTATAAATTATTTTGTTCGTCATAATTTATTTGTACTGATAGGTTCAAACTTATACATTTACATCCTGTATCATCCCTTATTTTATCCCCATAGGGGTTGAATTCCAAAATCCTATTTAAGCGAACGTCTTCATCATAGTAACTCCAAACTTTAATTTCAGTTCAATCAGTCGAAAATCTAAGAAGATTTATACAAACTTTCATCCCCTACTTAATCCCCTCAGGGATGGGATTTATTAAAATCCTTTCTTAGGGGGTGTCTACGTCATAGTGCTGTATTTACTGTTTTGCATGAAATTTCTTCTAGAATAGTATTCTATTCTAGAAAAACTTCTATCTTGTTAAAACTACTATTCTATTTTATTAAATAGAATTAAAGTAGTTTTAGCAAGACTAACGAACAGTAAATCACTTATATATATATAGATTACAGTATATGTAATACCACAGGTAACATAATATTACATAGTAATACTAAATCTATCTTCGACGACCTCGGTGGTCAGAAAAAAATATCTATGTATTGTATAAGTTATCTAGTACCCAGCTTTACCTAGCTTAACTTGGGTCTAGATGGCGCTGTGTGAATTTATCTGTTTTTCTGTATACTTTATTTTCTTAAGAACTTTATTTTCACAAAAACTAGACATTTCTGTGGTCTAATCTAAGTAGATTAGACCACAGAAATGTCTAGTTTTTACTTACAATGCCTTATTCTGTAATTAAAAACCCCTAGACAGGGTTGTACAGGGGTTTTTATGAACCTAACACTCACCACAAACTTGGACACTAATATGATTACGTCATCAGCGCTAATAGTTCACTTGAAGTTATTAAAGTTTGTCATTAGACAGGATTTCATGGAACATGCTAATATTACTGTTCGTTAAAGGTCGTTTGTGTGTTTGTATTGCTTAACGTTGCTCAAGAACTGACTCTTTGACCTCTATATAATATGTAGATATTTACAAAAGCCACGAGTTTTTTTTAAACTGATTTTAAAAAACCAACATTATTAATATCTTCGGGACCTAAACAAAAGTTTTTACTTTATTGATATTGTTAATTGTACTCATGAAAACAAACATTGGCATCGTGCTATTAATCGAATCCGCGACCATTGGAATATAACTGGTGTGCTATACCGTTAGACCACCGTGGCCATAATTTATACATAGATTGGTAATCAGTTAGATATGACAATATAAAGATTAGCTTCTACTCTGAATTTTATTTATTAATTCATAACAATAATTATTGTGTCTAATTTCAAAGTACAAATTTAAATAATCTAAATCTAAAATTATAATGTCAAAATAATAATAATACCAATAATAATTTTCGAATTGAGCTACAGTAACGGTAATATTGGAATTACTCTTAAATAAATTCTAAACAACTGTTGAATCATATTTACTGAGCAAAGCCTATTACTCACTAAACGATTACATGAATGACGAGCGTGCATGGCAATAGTTGTTCATGCACGGGATTTTCATTTATTAATGATGAATGTTAGACATAGACACCTATATAAATACCTATACATTATAAATAAACTGACTTTAAAAAAAATAGATATAAAATTTTACAATAAGATATCAAAGAATATATTGGAATTGCCCTTAAATAAATTCAA